TAATCTTAAAGAAGACATCAACAAACACCATATGCTACAGGAATTTCAGGTTCATGCAGTTCGTTTATCCATCATCAATCTTCAATTGATTCATATTGGATTTAAATGATACATTAGCTGATAAAAAAGGTCAGCTTTTGCATAATTTCTGAAGCAAAAAAAACGTAAGTAAATTATTAACACGAAATCTATAATGGGCTATCATGCTAGATTATTAGATTTACTAGGCTTGTGTAAATGACAGTCCAATGCAATTTTGCAGAAATCCTAAACCTCGTGTTTTTGCAACAATCTGCTGCTAGCAAATATGCGGCGACCGCTAACCAATGCAAATAAAATCACGTTCAAGAGCTATTAAAGTGTTGGTTGTCATGTTAAACAGTGGGTGTGACAAGAAACATCCCCCCTCGGTCAAATCGATCTCTTGACCACATTAGCACAAAAGGAAAAAAAAAAGGCTGACATGAGATGATGGCTTGTTTTCATAGAGCAGGAAAGAGCATTTAGCCGTCTGTAAGGACAACAATGGTGTAGCGGTGTGCAAATATTATGATGCAAAGTCAGTGACAGGAGATACATTACACTTTTGTTCAATCGATGGACAGGAGAACTGGCCACACCCTGACGACAGCACTTTAACAGACACAAGCGGCTAAACACAGCATTTTATTTCACAGGACAGCGCTGCTTTTTAAAGGGATAGTTCACATTAAACAGTTTACTGTCGCTCAAGTGGTTCCAAACCTTGATGAGTTTCTTTCTTCTGTTAGAAAATATTTTGAAGAAAGCTGAAAATCTATAACAATTGACTTCCATAGAAGTAAAAACAAAAACTACACTGTAAAAAAAATGTGTGACAAAAAGTCATGACAACAAATGTTTTATGTTAATTTAATTTATTAACTGAATTAGGTTTCAAAGATTTAGCCAATTAAAGTTTAAGTCAACTCCAATCAATATCCCTATAATTTTTGCATTTGCTGGCCACTTTATTAGGTACTAGTAGTACCAGGTTACACCCCCTTCTGCCTTCAGAACTGCCTGAATCCTTCATGGCATAGATTCAACAAGGTAGTGGAAATGATTTTGGTCCATGCAGTTGCTGCAGATTTGTCAGCTGCACATCCATGATGCGAGTCTCCCGATCCACCACATCATAAAGGTGCGCTATTGGATTGAGATCTGGTGACTGTGGAGGCCTTTTGAGTACAGTGAACTCATTGTTATGTTCAAGAAACCAGTCTGAGATGATTTGCACCTTATGACATGGTGCGTTATCTTGCTAGAAGTAGCCATCAGAAGATGGGTACACTGTGGTTATAAAGGGATGGACATGGTCAGCAACAATACTCAGGTAGGCTGTGTTGTTGACACGATGCTCAATTGGTACTAATGGTCCCAAAGTGTCCCAAAAAATATCCCCCATACCATTACACCAACACCTCCAACCTGAACTGTTGATACAAGGTAGGATGGATCCATGCTTACATGTTGTTGATGCCAAATTCTGACCCGACCATCCGATTGTCGCAGCAGAAATCAAGACTCATCAGACCAGGCAAGACCAGCAGGTTTTTCCAATCTTCTATAGTCTAATTTTGGTGAGCCTCAATTGTCAGTTTCCTGTTCTTAGCTGACAGGAGTGGCACCCGGTGTGGTCTTCTGCTGTTGTAGCCTATCCGCCTCAAGGTTGGACATGTTGTGCGTTCAGAGATGCCCTTCTGCATATCTACTGTTGCCTTTCTATCAGCTGGAACCAGTCTGGCCATTCTCCTCTGACCTCTGGCAACAACAAAGCATTTGCGCCCACAGAACTGCCGCTCCCTGGATATTTTTTTCTTTTTTGGCCCATTCTCTGTAAACCCTAGAGATGGTTGTGCATGAAAATCCCAGTAGGTCAGCAGTTTCTGAAATACTCAGACCAGCCCTTCTAGCACCAAGAACCATGCCCTGTTTAAAGTCACTTAAATTCCTTTTTTACCCTATCTGATGCTCAGTTTGAACTGCAGCAGATCGTCTTGACCATGTCTACATGCCTAAATGCATTGAGTTGCTGCCATGTGATTGGCTGATTAGAAATTTGCGTTAACGAGCAATTGGACAGCTGTACCTAATAAAGTGGCCGGTGAGTGTGTGTATGTGATAAATGTTACATAAAAACATTGAAATATCTATGTAACAAAATAGTTTTGAATAATTTAGTTTAGTTTACAATAGAATAACAACTTTTTATCAACAATTTTAATAACAAATTTGGAAAAAACTTCCTCAGATATTTATAGAATAAAAAGTAAAAAAAAAATGTAACACATACCTGTAAATCCAGAGAAACTAAATATTTTAAAGTGATGTGTCATTTTCGGTCAAAAAAAACAAAACAAAAAATATTCTAGTTGAATAGAAGTAATATTGAAGAAGTAAAATTTGCCAGGGGTGTGAATAATTTCAGGCTTAATTGTATGTAAGTCATATAAATCTCATTTTATATAAGCATATTATAAGGAATATCTGCATACATTTGTAAATGCATTACTCCCTTTATGAAAAGCACAAATAGTCCCTGGTGATGAAGTGATATTGGCATTAATAGTGGCAGAGGAAGAAATGTCATGGTCATCAAACTCAGTGGCTGGAGAGAAGAGAGAGCAGCGAGGGATTGGATTAGTCAGAGGAGAGGAGAGAGTGTGTAGGTGGGAGTTGAAAAGGCTGAGGTGGTGTCCAGGGAGTGAATGGCACTGCAGTAACTATCAATCAACATATGACTGCAGCCTGCAGTCTCTATACACATCCAGCGTTTACCCAGACACAGGCTCGTCTTTCTCTTTTAAAGAAGCAGAACGTTATGTGGCCTGCGATATTTCTAAAGGATAAAGTCTTGAAAACTCAATTACAGTGCACTGCAAAAAAATCTGGATCTGGATCTATATTTTTGTGAACTTTCATGTGAAAAAGTTTAGTTGAGAAGATCTTGTGGCAAAAGAAGACTTGAAGCACATTTATTTCTGCATCTATTCATGGTGTCTGTAATATAGACTAGCTGCAGTTTTTAAAATAACACATTTTATGACATTTTACATCAAGTGAAATGCATGAATATATCATATAAAACTCTTTATAAGAAATAAGCTGCATTTTTTAACTTTGGAGATGGAGAGGTTTTGTTTTTGTTAATAATACTAATTTAAAATCCACCCATCCATCATTTATACATCCAGCCATCTATTATTTATCTGTTCATCTAGCTATCATTTATCTATCTATCCATCTATAATTTATCTCTATCCATCCATCCATCCATCCATCCATCCATCCATCCATCCATCCATCCATCCATCCATCCATCCATCTATCTATCTATCTATCTATCTATCTATCTATCTATCTATCTATCTATCTATCTATCTATCCATCCATCCATCCATCCATCCATCCATCCATCCATCCATCCTATCTATCTATCTATCTATCTATCTATCTATCTATCTATCTATCTATCCATCCATTCATCCATCCATTAACCCACCCAACCATCCATCCATCCATCCATCCATCCAACCATCCATTGACCCACCCAACCATCAATCCATCCATCCATCCATCCATCCATCCATCCATCAACCATCCATTTATCAATCCATCCATCCATTGACCCACCCAACCATCCATCCACCCATCCATCCAAGCATCCATGCAACCATCCATTTATCCATCCATCCATCCATCCATCCATCCATCTATCTATCCATCCATCCATCCATCCATCCATCCATCCATCCATCCATCCATCCAATTATCTATCTATCTATCTATCTATCTATCTATCTATCTATCTATCTATCTATCTATCTATCTATCTATCTATCTATCTATCTATCTATCTATCTATCTATCTATCTATCTATCTATCTATCTATCTATCTATCTATCTATCTATCCATTCACCCATCCATCCATCCATTGACCCACCCAACCATCCATCCATCCATTCATCCAACCATCCATTTATCAATCAATCAATCCATCCATCCATCCATGCAACCATCCATTTATCAATCCATCCATCCATCCATCCATCCAATTATCTATCTATCTATCTGTCTGTCCGTCCGTCCGTCCGTCCGTCCGTCCGTCCGTCCGTCCGTCCATCTATCTATCTATCTATCTATCTATCTATCTATCTATCTATCTATCTATCTATCTATCTATCTATCTATCTATCTATCTATCTATCTATCTATCTATCTATCTATCTATCTATCTATCTATCTATCTATCATTATAACTATTATTTATACATCCATCTATCTATATATTTATCTATCAATCTATGAATTTTTACTAGTGATGCTCCAATCAATCAGCTGAAGATCGGTATCTGCCGATAATCACACTTCATGACTCAATCGGTACTCGCTGATCTGGCCGATCTCATGAACCGATTGCTTAAGAGGACATTTTTTATGTTTTTCACCCTGTTGCAAGTTAAAAATTTCTTGAAACACTTCTTGTAATACACTTATTGCAATAAACAGAATAGACCTATTACGTTTTAGTAAGGAAGTAATGGATTTATAGGTGTGCATTTTTCATCTAACAAAATGATTTGATCTGTTTTGTGTATTATTTTTTGTAATGATGCTTCTGATCATGATGACGTGTCCACACTAAATGGCTATAAGAGACATGTTTAAGGGACTATATGCAACATCCTTAATTTATGTTCTCATTGGTTAGGAGAAGCTCCACCTCAGTTTTAAACTTAGGTGCAAAAGGTGCTTTATGCAATAGTACACTTACAGTATATAAAGCTTGAAGCATCAGAATCAGTACTCGGTATCGACCTATCACCATGACAAGGTATCAGTACTCTGTACTGATAAAAATCTGATTGGAGCATCTCTACTTTTTACCCTATATAATTCACAACCATTCAATAACACTGAAAATGTTATGCATTTAAGCTTTTTCTCATTTGTATTTGCTTGTGTTTTGTTCTGCAGAGACTAAGCAGGAGTTGGAGGACCTCACAGCTGACATTAAGAAGACAGCCAATAAAGTGCGCTCTAAATTAAAAGGTATACAAGGAAATCCTTATTTTACCAGCACTTTTCAAATTCTTTATAATTGTTTTGAAAAACCACTAGTGGATCTTTATGTTCATTTTGACTTACACAAATTTATGTAAAGCATTAAGAACAGGGTGAGATTTATTCATTGGTAAATTGGTAATTTTGGTAATGTTAGTTTGTATAATACATGCTTCAGTGAATCAAATATATGTATTTATTTAAATTATGCCTAGTTTACTAATAAAATGTATTTAAGTTGAATGTTTTGAGGGATATTTAGTGTATTCTGAAATACAGTAACCTCTGATTAGCTATTTTAGAGCTTACTCTTGGTCAAATTCTACAAGTTGCATCAAATTTGACTGTACTTTAAGGCTATATGTAAATACAAACAGCTGTTTTACAAGAAAAATGTCTTGCGAACACTTACAATGAGTGCTCTAGATCTGCCAGTGTCAGACTGTTGAATAATTCTTGCCCTGACTGATTGTCTTGATTATGCATGAACCCCGATAATGGTTTGAACAGATATGCAGGTGGTCAAATGTATATTTATACCATCTATTATTTTAATTATTAATATTATTATTTAAGATACAGATCAGAGAAAACTATTTCTCGTTATTTAAGGTATGACCCCCATTCATCTTGCTTTGATGGCATCCACTGGCATTAAGCATTATATATTAGAATTCTTAGAATATTTTCTTATATTTCTTTGATTCTATGTTTAGTGTGGGGAAAATGAGAAAAGTTGAGGTCTATTTGCAAGTACACATGAAGTCGAGATCTATAAAAGCTCCCGAAACCCTCATCATCACGTAGGCACAGCTCATTTAGATGCAATCTTTGATTCAAATGGCAGCCACCCGAGGTGAAGGGAGTTGAGCAATAGAAAATTATGAACAAGTCGGGGGTTTGACTAATCTCGTATGAAGTGTTCACCATATCAACTCACTCAGAGAAAGACAAAGCTGGAAAAACGAGATAAATATTTTTCAGTAACTAAAACAATGAGCACATTAAATCACCTTTCAGGGTCCTGTGAAATTAGTTTGCTCCAGAACCGTGACAACATTTGCATTTAGAAGACATGAGCTGATATAAATGTCTGGTAGTTTGTCACTTCCAAATGGATCAATAATTTTTTTCACCTCATACGTCACCTCGTAATTCAGTTTCTCATCAAATCTTCTGTCCAATCACCTGCTCTCTAGTGTCTGACATGCCCTGCCCCCTTCTCAAGAAACTTCTAATTTGCATTTCATTTGACGTGCTTGAGCTCAACCACTCTCACTGGCAGAGATGTGATAAAAACAAAATGCTATTGGCTGTTTTTGAATAAGGGGAGGGGCTACTTAATGTCCTGCCCTCTTGTTTCAGTTGAAATTAGGTCAAACATCGAATAAAGAGCCCTCACGGGACCTTTAAATCTGCCTAAATGAAGTGCGATGCACATTACTATTCAGAAATTAAGTTTTGGTATATTTATGGCAGCAAATTTACAACATCTTAACGTAAAATGATTTTGATCCACATGACAACTCGTATAATATGACTCAAATAATCATAATTTACTTTAAATGATTTTACCACCTGAACCATAAATGTTATGTGAATAATCTCTTACAATCACTACACAATTGATTGGAAATACATATTATTTAAATTGGATACAATCGCAGGTAAACCTCCCTCCTCTGACTTCTACAAAAGCTCTACCAACAGACCCTAGAGGCCATGGTGTTTAGCCTCCTTGATAGAGCAACCAACTCCCATGCAAAGAATTGTCGGTTCGATCCCAGCTCAGACCGGGCTGGGTGCAATAGGAGCAGTGGGTTACATGTGGGGGCTCGTGTGGGATGGAAGTAAAGTTTGGGTGGTGAGCGTAATGAAGCCCAGCAAGCGAAGTGCTATGCTGGCAAACGTCACTTCTCTGACCTCTAAAGGTGCTCTAGTGATAGATGCTAGAGGCCATGGTCTTTAGCCTCCTTGATAGAGCAACTACTCCCATGCAAAGAATTGCCAGTTTGATCCCAGCTCAGACTGGGTTGGGTTACACGAAACATACCAAAGAAATTATTTTATCATAATATACTGAGATTATCAATCATTGTATGATTGAACATATGCTGTAAAAAAATATTAATGCCTTAAATTGTTTAATTAAACAGCGACCAAGAGTTTCCTTTTTTGAGCAATTTCTTTATGTTTTTAAAATGCACTTAATCAGATAAAATTGATTGAATCAAAATAAAATATCGAAACCTTAAAACATTTTTGGCAACAGTTTAAAATAATCGTCCATTACTTAATGTTAGGTAATGTACAAACAATTAGTAATACATTTACTATGGTATTTATTCATCTTTGTTATTGATAGTTAAATGTGCAGCAGGTGATTGTCTTCAGAAGCATTTTGTGTTGTGCTGGTTGAGTCTCTTCACATTCCAATAGTAATGATTAAATTAAACGATCGAAATGTATTCATATGTATTTTTATATTTTGAGTAAGGCATAAAACTAAAAAATGTTCATCCAATAAAATAGTCGGGCCCACATCTCTCATAATTCCGATAAGCAGGCCAAACTGTTTGTCAGCAAATGCAGATTTGAACAACTGCGCAGACGTTTGTACGCAGCTCCAACGACCGCCACGCGTTCACGAGAGAGGGAGAGAGAGCACACGTGCAATCGATAAAAACCTGCTAATTCAAAACTTTTTAAAAACCTGAATCGATATTGGAGTTACCTTTGCACGCTGGAGGAAAGGATGACACAATGTCTGAAGGGTTTCTCTTAGACAGGTAATGTTCTGTTTTAACACTGTCTAGCTTCACGCAAAGCTGATGTAACGTTAGATGTTGTTGTTACAAATGGGTTATATCTTCACAGAAGTGTTGTTCAGCCACTAAAATCTTCAGATGAAAGATTGATAAGACTATTTTCAGTTTTATAAGGGACCTTTTACAGCATCAATAATGTAGTTTTTTTTATTAGTTGCACAACAAAACACAGCTATTTCGCCTTGTCTCTCCCTTTATAGTTTACCATGCAGCTCTAAATATTCGATCTGAAATATGATGTCAGTTTGGCTTACACGCCCTCAGACAAGCACTATCCGCTTGTTAAGTGGTGATGTGTTTGTGACGTATGTAATACTGTTTCCGGGTCCAAGCCGGCATTCATTTGAGTGGAGAAATCGTTCGTTTATGATCACGTTTTATTCCTACCACACATTAAAGTTAATTTTATATAAAATCATAGTGTACACAACAATCTCTGGGCTTGCTGCATAACAAATACCAAAAATTTAACAATTTCTAAAAAAATTTATCACTTTCTGGCCATCGGATATTAGGCATGGACATATATATTGCGATCGTGATTTTTGAAAGCATTAAATCGCTTTGTAAACGTTATTATTACCATTTCATGAGTCTCCCCATTCAGTTGAATAGAGCGTTTGGACCCGGAAGCCGCTTCGCGTGACGTCACACTTAACAAGCGGATAGTCGCTTTTAACACATGAGAGAGGGTTCTTTGGCTGTGCTCGTGTTTCAGGAGGCGTGGCTCTCGACGGCAGGGGAGGGACTGTGATTCAGAGGTTTATGCTAAGCTTTTAGCATTGTGGAAGATCACCTACTGCGCCTTTAACCTTATTTAAGTTATGTTAGTTCATGTTAACCCACGGTGCATTAGCTAATGTTAACAAGCACAACATAGGATGTTAATAATGCATTAGTAAATGTTGAACTATGATTAATAAATGCTTTACAACATTTTGCTTTACAACATGGACAATTATTCTAAAAGTACTACCCATTTATTGCGTTGTTCTTTAAAACTCCATTAAAATAAGCCACAGTGATGGTCCTTCTGATGGCAACTTCATCAGCAACACATGGTGCGCTCGGCTCCATCAGAACTGAATCCCATTGTCTGCTGAAGTGGACAGTGAGATCTATTGTCCTTCAGAGATTAAGGGACTTGTTATTACTCTGGGAGCACTTTTGTCTGACACCTAGTGCATGCACTTTCATTGTAACAGCTCAGTCTGCCAATTACGTCAGTGTCATCGACGCATTTGATGGTGTTGTAGATGCTGTGGCACCTCAGTAACTGTTGTAACCTGGTAACCAGGTTTGGACAGCTGTGAAATGTCAATCTTTGTGTGTGTTAAAGGAAGACAGTGTATAGACTTACCACAGACCTTTTTTACTAGAACAATGAATGAAATGCAATTTGTTTCTGTGTTGCGCAGCTATCGAACAAAGTATCGAGCAAGAGGAAGGGTTGAACAGATCATCTGCAGATTTGCGGATCCGCAAGACACAGGTATGAAAAGAAACCACGAGAAATTAAGCTAAATTTGATGATCTCTATTCTCCTAGTGATAAAGATTGCTACTAAGTCGGTTCAGTCAAATAGTAATGTGAATAATGAACTTAATAAATAGTCGAAAATTCAACAATTTAGTATCATCAGCTTAGTTTTGCTTTCATTACTTAATCTTTTTTCCACATTAGTTTATTCTACATCCCAATAATAATCACTTTTTAAATCAATTTCACATTGTGTATGTGGGTTATAAGCTGTTTTTATTTTAATGTCAAACATATTAATTTGTTATAAATAGTTAAATAATTAAATTTATTCCAACAACTTACGAACAGTCAAAATAATCAAATTATAGCATATTTTATTTGGCATTTGTAGGGATGCAATGATTACAGAATTTGGTTGTACGATTATAGTATGAGGAATAATCACGGTTTCTTGGTTATCTTGATTATTACCTATTCATTCATTTCAAAACACTACTAGTTTAGAAAACCACATGAAAACACCTTATATTTTAAAGTGTTGTTTATTGCTGTGCAGTAACCAAATTATACTGCACAAAATAATAATAATAAAAGAAACAAACAATAGTCCAATAGTCCAACTTTTGATAATTAAACTTATAAATAAATAAACTTATAAAAATAATAAAATTTTCATTAAAAATAAATGACAAAACAATGAATGAATGAATAAATACATCAAAATAAGAATAAATTAAAAAATAGTATTGGTCTAATGCAGGGCTATTCAATTAGTTTGTCATGGGGGGCAGTTCATGAAAAGCATTCTAAATGAGGGGCCGGAGAGATTTGACTTGCAATGTCACTGATGACACAACAGCATATAAGAGCCCATATGTTGTATTTTTGCTCCTTAAGAGACCCATGTAGTATTTTTCTGCATTAAAATGTTAATATGTTGTATTTTGAAACTACATAACATCAGTGCATTGTACAATGTGGCTTTTTTTTTTTTTTTTTACAAACATTCAAATGTTGTATTTCAAAGCACAACAAAAGCAGTGCATTGCTTAAGTAGACTTCTTCTACATTTAAACCCATTCACATGTTGAGTTTTGAACTGCGTAACAATTATAGATGCAACTATTATAGATTTTGGTTGTACGATTATATAGTCTGAAGAATAATAACGGTTTCACGGTTATCTCATCTAATGTTAATTTAAGCTTTATATTAGCTTAGCATTTAAATGAACTGTTGTTATCATCTGCGTTCATAAATACATAATCATTTTAATCATTTGTAAAAATTTGTCTAACATACCTTGCACTGAAAGTCACGGACAACTCTTACCGCTACAGCGTGAGATGTTTTCTACTCGGTGCGTCTTTAAGGCAAAAGCGCAACGCATATTGGCATTTATTACATTGGAAATAATCAACTCGCGGGCGTAAATGATGCGATGTGTGTATGGCCCGCTGCTATAGTGAATCCAATGTGCGTTGGATTAAACAAACTAAAGTTGAGATGTTTTCAACTAGGTGTGCCTGGAAAGCACGTGCACCACTCCTAATATACACGTGCAAGCCACGTGCCTCTATGTTATTGAAAATAACATACTTGAGCGCCCAAAAGACATGATACGTAAACAGCCCCTTAGTTAATAGCCTCAGCTATAGTTAATCCAGCATGCGTGCATATAAGCCTCAGTGTACAAGGTGAGAACTTTTAATCAGCGCACAGTTGGCATAACTTTGTTTAATTGCAGCAGTTTTGTTTCATGCAGAAACGCGGTGTTGAGAAGCCTTTACAATTAATTAATCTTGACGAATTTGGTTAATCGTTGCATCCCTGGGCATTAGTAAAGCAATTATATATATATATATATATATATATATATATATATATATATATATATATATATATATATATATATAAATATATATATAAATATATATATATATATATATATATATATATATATATATAATTTGTAATAATTTCTGTATAATAATCATATTACCTAAACATTTAATGAAAAATAATTCATTAGATCACGTGTATAAAACATGAAAGTAAAAACATAAAACAATAGACAAATACTTGTATTTAGTTCAACTTGAAACTCAAATGTACATTTAATAAATCTATTCAGACATTAAAAACCAATTAAAAATCACAAAACACTAAAACTAAACAGTCTAAAAATAAAACCTACTCAAACTGACTCTAACATACAAAAAAAACTACTAGATAACTAGCACGTACAAAATAATACAAGATAATAAGAACATAATAATAATAAGAGGGCTATGAATCTTTTACTTGAGAAGTGTTCAGTGGGATGTTCAAGCTCTTATGTTTTCATGTTTAGCTTCTCTAAAATGGAAGCGATATTCAGCAAAACAGTGACAAATCTGACCTTCAGGCTGTCCAGTGTGTTCAGAGACAGACACACTTCCTGTGACCTCTGCCCTCCCACTGAGCATCTCGGTCAAACACCCTCCTTAGTGCCATCTGCTGTCCAGAAACAGAATAAGTGTCATTATCTCTCACATAATTGCAGCAAAAGCAGAGCCCGATTTCACAAAGATCAGTCATGGACCATAACATATATATTATATAGAGTTAAAGTCAAAATTATTCATCCTTCTGTGATTTTTGTTTTCCTTTTCAAAAGTTTTCCAAATGATGTTAAAGAGATCAAGGAAATTTTCACAGTATTTCCAATAATATTTTTTTTTTTCTGGAGAAAGTCTTTTTTGTTTTATTTCGGCTAGAATAAAAACAGTTCTTAATATTTTTAAAAGCATTTTAAGGTCAATATTATTAGCCCCCTTAATCCCTTCAGACCCTGTGTCCATTACAATGGACATCACATGATGTCACCCCATATTTTTTGTGGTTCCTGAGCATTTCATCAAGCCTGCAGTCCATGAAAGTGGACGATTGTCATTTAATCAAATGGCAGTGAGGCTCTGCATATTGCAATTTGAAAAAAAAATCCACTACACTGAAAAGTAGCATGGCATCACTTCACTCCAGGCCACATTTACAAAGTTTTTACTCAGATTTATTGATACGTTTGACAATATTTCATAGATCGTATGTTAAAAAAAATACAGATTGCACTTTCTAATTAAAGTTTAAAATCTTTTGTATGATTGCAAGCTTTAGATCAGGATTTTTTCAGAAATCTGTTACTAAACTGAAATCTCCAGTAATGCTGACTGAACTTTTTTAAATTTAAAAAAACTGTATCGATGACCTAATTCACTGCTGAAACCATTTCATATGCAGAATATACAGATCTTGAAGTATGTATAGCAGATGAAAATATGTCCTTATGTGGCATGACGAGGAAGATGAAGATAAAGTTTGTTATGCAGTATATACAACAAAAACCTCAAAATTAAAGTAAAAATGTTACAATGTTAATGTTTGGAATTAAAAATAAATAATTTTGAAGATTAAACCAGCAATCATCTATGCTTATTTTGTATTTTATGTTGGTATAATACAACTGTTCTGACCTCATGTCCATTTCAAGAGTTCACACTTAGCTGATGATTGATTATAAGCAAGTTTGGCATGCTGTCCCGGGATAGAGCCCTGAGCTCGAAGGTTTTTGAGCCCTGGGCTCCCTCCCGTTTGGAGGTAGAGAGGGGAGCCTCGAGCTCAGGTAGATCTCGACAACTCCCCTTTTTATAATAGCTAAAGATTAAGATTGAAGGCTATCTACTTCAAAATATCTACTTCAAGGGTGATGAATATGTATTATTATAATTTGGTCTCATTTATCAAGAGCTGTGAAAACATTACATTTTTCAAAAACTTAGAACATAATGACTGAAGGAGTTATGCCTTTAAATGTCACTTTAAGCTGAATACTAGTATCTTGAAGAATATCTAGTCAAATATTATGTACTGTCATCATGGCAAAGATAAAATAAATCAGTTATTAGAAATGAGTTATTAAAACTATTATGTTTGAAAATGTGTTGAAAAAATCTTTCAGTTTTTCGGGAATATATATACAGGGGGCTGACTATTCATGAGGGATAATAATTCTGACTTCGACTCTATAACAGCCTACTTTCAGCATGTCTATTCACATCCTACATTTTCACGTCTCTGATGCCTCCACAACTCCACCTTTTATCCCACAGCATTCCACGCTGTCACGCAAGTTTGTGGAGGTGATGACAGAGTACAACACCACGCAGTCCAAATACAGGGACCGCTGCAAGGACCGTATTCAGAGACAACTGGAAATTAGTGAGTTCTGCTTGCACATACACACCCACACGCAAAAAAAAAGAAAAGAAGAGAGAAAATCTTCCTCCACATTTCTGGAACGTGCATTTTACATGCCAATTACAAATGTCCGAAAATAGAAATAAACATTTACTCACTATTTACTCTCCTCAAGGAGATCCAACTGAATTTTATCTTTCTTTTTTGTTGTTGAACACAAAAGATATTTTGAAGAATGTTAATAAGTTGATGGTAGCCATTGACCATAACACTTAACTTGAAGGAGTGACTGTCATTAAACCTTTATAACCATGACATGAATGTGAGTGAGATTTTATGCATGCATGTGACAACTTATTAAGTGACATTGGCTCAGTTATGACATTTTAAATGCAAATATGTCATTGTTTGTTATGATATATGAGCAATATCACATGAGTAGCATTGCGAAATGGCTGTATATCAGCATTTGTGGGAGGTGTGCGTTGGCTTGCGTTGGCTTGAGTGCCTTGAGTACTCGCGAAATATTGCGTTTATACAACAGTTCGACAACATAATCGTGTATATACAAAAGAAAATCAAACAGATCCGAGATCCTTTTGTACGAGGAACTACTGTCTTCCGGCGTTCTTTCACATCTGCATCTGATGTCAGAACAGCAAAAACCGTAGCTACTTTACTAACATCACTTTAGAGCTAGTATTTGAATGATTCTCTAGCGTAATATCGAGTATGATTACAAAAACAGGTGATTTTGCTCACATTTTAAGATTAAAAGGCTGAACAGCATGAAATGCCATCAGTCTACAGAGATTTTCCAGTATTTCTCTGTTGTAATCGAGATATCACAATAATTAATACCAAAAAATCCAAAGCAAAGCAAAAACTAGCAGATTACTATGGTATAGATACAGCACTGCAACATGCAAAAGAGAGAGATCGACTTAGAAAGTCCCTTACCTGCCCTATAATGATTTGATAAGCTGTAATTTGAAATGTACGCTGAGTTTTTCTTCCCTAAAAACTTATTATGAGGTCTCTGTCGCCATCTTGTAGTGAAACGTCAACCGCCGACGATCTGAATCTCCAAAGTTATAAATATTTAAAATAGGCACTATCCTTATAAACAAACTGCATAGATGCAATCTAAATAACTACATTTTCACCTAAAAAAAGCCTCAAAAGTACATTATGTAGCCCAACAGCTGCAATATATTTGTCAAACTGTAGTGAGTTTATTGATCTGCTGTCACTCTATGTGAGCGGAGTAACAAACAAGGGTGAAGAGGCTGCAGGACTGCTGTTATTGCAGAACATCACACGGCTATCAGCCAATCAGACTCGAGAACCAGACAGAACTGTTGTATAAAAACAAATACATCTCAAGCAGTCCTTACAATTGTCATGACAACTTGACAATTATACCAAGTCAACATAACTCGTCATCAATTTGTTATAAACATGAGGGTCATGAGTATTTTTCCGATCACTTTTTCAGTCATTAAAAGTGCAAATTATGCTGTCAAATAATTTTTAAGAGCGTCATTAATATTTAGTGACAATTTAATGACAAATTCAGCTTGTATCACTGTAGTTGACGTCGAAAAATATTAATAACGCTGTTATAAAATTCATTGCATATTTATAATGCTTCATGACGGTCATGTTTATGACAGATTTATGACAAGTTTTCTAGTCTTGGTATAATTGTCAAGTTGTCATGACAATTGTAAGGTCTGCTTGTGATGTATTTGTTTTTATACAACAGTTCTGTCTGGTTCTCGAGTCTGATTGGCTGAGAGCCGTATGATATTCTGCAATAACAGCAGTCATGCAGCCTCTTCACCCTTGTGTGTTACTCCGCCCACATAGAGTGACAGCAGATCAATAAACTCACTACAGTTTGACAAATATATTTCAACAGTTTGGCAACATAAGGTGCTTTTAAGGCTTTTTTTAGGAAAAAATGTAGTTATTTAGATTGCATCAATGCAGTTTGTTTGTTTGATATTGCCTATTTTAAATATTTATAAGTTTGGAGATTCAGATCGGCCATTAGCCTCTCACTGAGCAGAAGTTGTCACGACAAAAATAACAGGTTGTGATGTATTTATGTCAAGTTGTCATAAGAAACAATGTCATCTTTACATTTATAACCACATAGCTAAGTTGTTATGACAGTTGCTATAAGCATGCATAAAATCTCCTTCGCATTCATGTCTAATGTCACGATTATAAAGGTTTTGTTGGGGATGAAAAAAATACTATGGAAGTCAATGGCTAGCATCAACTGTTTGGTTTAACAGCATTCTGTTGTGTTGGGTGGCATGGTGGCTCGGTGGTTAGCACTGTCGCCCCACAGCAAAAAGGTTGCTGGTTCGAGTCCTGGCTGGGCCAGTTGACATTTCTGTGTGGAGTTTGCATTTTCTCCCCGTGTTGGTGTGGGATTTCTCCGGGTGCTCCGGTTTCCCCCAAAGTCCACAGACATGCGCATAGGTGAATTGGATATTCACCTAAATTGGAAAAGTTGGCGGTTCATTCCGCTGTGGTGACCCCTAATAACAAAGGGACTAGGCTTAGGGAAAATGAATGAATGAATGAATGAGATTGGAGAAACTTGAGGGTGACTAAACTGAGAAAACAGTGCACATTTTACTGGTAAGGACTTTAAAAAATACCAGTGCACCATATTAAACCCGTTGATCTACTACAGAAACACAAAGCTATTCAAAGTAACCCAGTGTATGCCTGATGTTGACACCCTGTTCTCCTAATATCTTTAATTAGCTGGCAGAACAACTACCAATGAGGAGCTGGAAGACATGTTGGAGAGTGGGAAGCTTGCAATCTTCACTGATGATGTAAGTTTGACCAATGCCAAACTTGTCCAAACTAAGGGTACTTTAACCACAATGATCGTGCTAATAAATAATTTTCGAAAAGTCACACATACAGACAAGAACACTGTGAAAACAACCTCGGTCTGTGAAATCAACTAAAAATGCTGTATTTTGCGTGCCAGGCCAGTAGTTGGCGATGTCACTTTGTAAAGACACACTGTGAACACATATGCCGTTTTGTTGATGTTTTTGTCAATTACTTGTGCATGAATATAGACTGAGCTCATAATACACTTGAAAACTGTTTGCTTTCATAAAAGTTTAGTCATTTTATTTCACTGTTTTCAAAATACTAAAACATTTTCTCTGTGCGACAGATCAAAATGGACTCCCAGATGACCAAGCAGGCACTAAATGAGATTGAGACCCGACACACTGAGATCATTAAGTTGGAGAACAGCATCCGTGAGCTGCACGATATGTTTGTGGACATGGCCATGCTGGTGGAGAGTCAGGTACATCTGAAAATACGACACAGAAAATTACATGTTCATTTGATCAAGTCTGGCAGACACCCAGGAAGAAAATACTACTTTAATGTGTGCTAAGGCACTAATTGGGTTTTTTGCGTAGGGGTAAAAAGACAGATGTGTACTACTAGTAGTAAACTATGTTATTTTATTTTTTATATTACTTCAGTATTGAAATAGTTTGGAATTAGGAATTATTTAATTTTAAATAAGAATAAAGTGAATAGAATAAACTAAAATGTTTGTAGGATATGAGTGTAAATGAGTGTTTATGGGTGTTTTCCAATACTGGGTTGTAGCTGGAAGGGCATCTGCTGCGTAAAACATATGCTGGAATAGTTGGTGGTTCATTTCACTGTGGCAACCTCTGATATAGAGACTAGCCAAAGTAAAAATGAATGAATAAATAAGAATAGTTTTTATTAAAATTTACGATTATTTTTTTTGTTATGTGATGATAATTAAATTTTATAGGTCAATTTATATATATATATATATATATATATATATATATATATATATATATATATATATATATATATATATATATATATATATATATATATATATATATTCGGAAGGTAATTGTTGGTAATATCACATTATATTACAAAGTGATTTTATATACAAACTGGTTTGTAACTGTGGTGAAAATTAAATGTGAAAATATTGGTGCGATTACATTTTATTGTCACTCTGCAACATATCTATGTAAATATAACACCCTGACCCTTAATGTATTAAAATATATAAAATAATAAACAAACGTACAAAATTTAGGGGTGGCTCAGTGGGTAGTACACTATCACCTCACAGTAACAAGGTCACTGGTTCTAGTCCCAACTGGGTCAGTTGACATTTCTGTATGGAGTTTGGATGTTCTCCCCGTGTTGGCGTGGGTTTCCTTCCGGTGCTCCGGTTTCCCCCATAGTCCAAACACATGCGCTAGAGGTGAATTGAATGACTAAATTGGCCATAGTGTATGTGTGTGAATGAGTGTGTTTCCCAGTGCTGGGTTGCAGCTGGAAGAGCATCCGCTGTGTAAAACATATGCTGGATAAGTTGGCGGTTGATTCCATTTTGATGATCCCTGATTAATTAGAGACTACGCCTAAGGAAAAGGAATGAATGAATGAATGTATACTATTACAGTATTTAAATAGTATGAATTAGTGATGATTTCATTTTAAGTTTGATTAAACATTCCGATTTTTTTGTTATGTTATTATAGTTTTATTATAGGTCAAACATATATATTTTTTTATCTATGTTGTTGTTCACATAAAAAAATTGTATAGATTTTATATACAAACTGGTTTGTAACTGTGGTGAAAATTAAATGTGAAAATATTGGTATGATTATATTTTATTATCATTCAGCAAAACATATTTACATAAAAATAAAACACAATTCTAATTCTGATCCTTAATGCATTAATTATATATCAAATAATAAATGAACATACAACATTTAGGGTGACAAAGTGGCTCAGTGGTTAGTCCAAAGACATGCGCTATAGGTGAATTGAATAAACTAAATTGGCTGTAGCGTATGTGTGTGAATGAGTGTGATGTTTCCCAGTACTGGGTTGCAGCTGGAAGGGCAGGTGTAAAACATATGCTGGATAAGATGATGGGTCATTCCACTGTGGCGACCCCTGATGAATAAAGAGACAAAGCCGAAAGCATGAATGAATGAATGAATGAAAATACAAAATTTTGTAATATTTTAAAGGCGTCTGGCTGAAAAATGGGCAAAACCCAGTAGTTTGAAAGATATTAACATAGTAAAGGATTTTAAAACTACAATAATTAGTAGTTAATTATTATTTCTGATTCATTTCAAATGCAACATTTCAATTCCATTCCAGCAAAAAGGCCAAATAAACTTTACACAGCTGATGTCAGAATTATTCGCCCTACTGTGAATTGTTTTTTCTTTTTCAAATATTTACCAAATTATGTTTAATAGATCAAGAAAATTTTAAAAGTATTTCCTATAATATTTTTTCTTCTGGAGAAAGTCTAATTTGTTTTATTTCGGCTAGAATAAAAGCAGATTTAATTATTTTTTTAAACATTTTAAGGTCAATATTATTAGCCCCCTTAAGCAATGTTTTTTTGTTTTTTTTTGATTGCCTAAAGAACAAACATTGTTATTCAATTACTTGCCTAAATACCCTAACCTGCCTTATTAACCTAGTTAAACTTTTAAATGTCATTTTAAGCTGAATACAAGTATCTTGAAAAATATCTAGTCAAATATTATTTACTGTCATCATAGCAAAGATAAAAGAAATCAGTTATTGGAGATGAGTTATTAAAACTATTATGATTAGAAATGTGTTAAAGAAAATCTTCTCTTCGTTAAACAGAAATTGAGAACATTTAAACATTTAACAGCGTGTCAAATTCTTTGTGCCCAAACATGATGCACACTCTAAAATGTAACTCAAGGAGAGCCATTTATTTATTGCCACACAGCCAAGGACAGCGGAAATGGTTTACATGACATTGCTATAGAATGCCATCGTGTTAAAATACAAGGACAGGCCCCACGGATCAACCTGGGGTTAAGAGCCTTTGCTCAAGGGTAAAAGGAGATGCACTAAAGCAGTGTTTCCCAACCTGTTCCTGGAGGCACACCGACTGTACATATTTTGAATGTCTCCCTTATGAAGCCGCCTTTCCACTGCACACGACATTTGGACACGACTGTCGGATTACGCCCCCTTGGGGCAGTCGCACAGAATTTTCAGTTCTGACGTGCACCATGGGAGAGAAGCTGTTGTCGCAGTGTCCGAAATAAAGAAGTGCAAAGGCAAGAGAATTTATTCTCAGTACGTTCACCATGGTTGAATGAATAAATGAATGCTAGAAACTCGTAGACCACTAAAAATATTGGAGGGAATGTGGAGACAACATAACATAATATTTTTATTACTTTATTACTTACATTTATGAACAGAAATGTTTTTTTTTTTAATATAGACATTTTCTGATTCAAAAGATAACCAAATAAACTACTATTTCTCATCTCGCGCACACGGACCTGCTTGGACAACACTGGAATACATCACATCCGGTCGGCCGGTCGCATACAGTCTAGTCGCAGGAGTTCAAATATTTAAACGGATCCGCAGCTCAATTCAGATTCGAATTTTCCACATACGGAGATAATCAGAACTCCAAGCAGCTCCCGGACTACTCTCCATAGGAAATGAATGACTTCCGGTCTGTCGATTGTCGTTTGTCGACCAATTTGACATCATACGATGTCTAATGTGAAACATCGCGATGGACGATTGCATCATCGGGGGAAAAAAATGTATGTGAAAAGTGCGCGGGGGGGTGGGGGTGTGTGTGCAACATGTCTGAAGAGCAAGGAGGGGTTCCGGTGGTGAGGGGTGAGAAGGGTGCGCAACTTATTTGAGTACCGGGAGGGAGTCGCAAGATTTCCCGAAGACTATCACTTGTTTGCGGGCATCCGGGAGTCTCTATGCATTTGTGGGAGACTCCAGGAACTTCCGGGAGACTTGGGAGGTCTAAGGATAACGTTTAACAACTATAATGAGCCAGCTTTGGGAGTCTTTTCTAATGTTCTGCTGAGTCTGGTGTGTTTGATTAGAAAGAGGTTGAAAATGTGTACTGTTGGTGTGCCTTCAGGAACAGTGCTGGGAAAACACTGCACTTGAGCATCATTGTTTGTGGGGTTTGACTTCAGGCAACACAAAAAAACAAACATTTAAGCACTATCAAACTAACAGAATCCTGTATTTCACGCGTTGCATATACAGTGATTGCAAATGCAAGTGTTTGCAAACACGACGATTGTTTGATGTGCCTTTTTTTGTCATTCACAGGGAGAGATGATTGACAGAATTGAGTATAACGTGGAACACTCTGTGGACTATGTAGAGAGAGCGGTTTCTGACACCAAGAAGGCTGTCAAATACCAGAGTCAGGCACGCAAGGTAAAAAACATCATCAGCTGTTCCACCTGAAGTCTTTCAACATCTTGCCCTTTATGCACAATGATTCATGCTCTCTGCACCTTGCTGGAGAACACAGGCTCGGCTGTCACGCACAATGCATTCAGAAATTACTCTTAAACCATTGAGTGAAAAACTACATTCAAGCAGATGCTGTTCACTCCCAGACGTTAGTGCTGCAGTTTAGCTGGCTGTCGGCCATTGCAGTGGTGGTCGAAAGACCGCAGACTCCACCTACTCCATTGCTTTCTGATGAGTCAAACTGCAGATCTGAAGCAGTCGCCCTATACGAACCGCATAATCGTTTTCGAATAGCGAAATTGCTGGGTGAAACCTTTACATTTACAGATACACAAGAGCTTCCGAAAACTAGGATTAGACTTGGAAATGATTGATAGTTCTGCATTTTTTTGTGACTAATAATCGAATCAAATGATAATAGTAGTTTACGAAGATTAAATCATTTATGGCAGCCTTCAGTGATCATGTAAGTGCAACTTTAAACACAAGGGGTTGCAAATCATCTGCAAAAATGAAGCTGATGTCTGCATAGTTGATGTCTGCAATAGTTCTCTACTAGCGAAATGCTTGGTAAATCTTTGCATTCACAGATTTACACGAGTTTCAAAAAATCAGGATTTGACCTGGGAATGATTGATAGATCTGCAGTAATTTGCAGTAAATAATAAAAATCAATTAGGGATAGTAATTTAAGAAGATAAAATAATTTATGACAGGATTTGGTGATGATTTAAGTACAAATAAGAACACAATGGCTGCGTCCGAAACCACATACTTCCATACTATACTGTATGTTTAAATCAGTATGCGAGCCGAGTAGCATGTCCGAATTCATAGAATTCGAAAAACAGCATGCGAGAAGCACCCGGATGATTTACTACTTCCGGCGAGATTCTGAAGTGCGCATCCCATGCATGCTGCGCTATCCCATGATGCCCCGCGAGCGAATTCATGAATGGAAGTAAAGCGACGGAAATGACGCAAGTACGTGACGTGACTGTCAAAATGGCAGATGTAGTACGCCCGAATTCCATTCATACTTTTCACGTTCATACTGTATAGAATGTACTTTTCTAGCGGCCGAGTAGTACGTTTAAATTCAAATGCAGTACCTACTGAGTAGTAGGCGGTTTCGGACGCAGCCAATGGGTTGCAAATCATCAGCAAAATTATGTCACGCAACACTTTCTACCCTATTGATTCCCATTCGTGAACGTGGGAATACAGCAGACCATAAAAACCAAGTTCAAACAAAAGGTTTTGCATGTTTCAAGCTTGGTGAACTCTGTCCTGCGAAATGTCATCATGTGATTGCGTGAGACCAATAGAAGATCAAAATGTGGCCTTTCTGTTCAGAAAATTAAAGTATGGACCAATCACACGCTTTATAAAAGTATATTCATCTTGTTTTATCCCACCCCTTTTTCGCACTGATGTACAACAGAATTTCGCAAGCTCAAATTCTAATGTCCCAAGCTCAAGCACTAGCTTTAGTTGTCGAAATTAAAGACAAAATATGTAAGATCTTTTCATTAAAATTAGAAAATCAGGATTAGACTTTGGAACGATTGATAGATCTGCAGTTATTTGCAGCAAATTAAAAAAAAAATATCGGTACGAATCGATACTGTAATTTTAAAAACATCCATTTCCTGCTAACATTTAAGTGCTGGTGAGTGCATTTTTAAACATCACTGATTTGCCACTGTTCACATGCTCAACAGAAATTACTGTGATTGGCCGTGAAGGTCATCAGTTCGCCAGACTCACCTCTGTTTACTGAGGGTAACCACAGAGACAGGGAAACTTGGGTGTTTCAAAGTCACGATTCATCAGTGGATCGCTCGAATGTCAGCTTATAGACAAACCAGCTGATCGACGTGACCTTGCAAATGCTCAACAGCACTCAAATGTTCACAGGAAATGGACGTATTTAAAATTTCAATATTGATTGGTACCGAATTCCAGTACTGTGGCAACCCTAGTTACACTTTGATGGCTTTCAGTCTTACTCTGCTTTATTCTACCATTTTAAAAATGATTAATTCATCAACGAACATGATTTGAACATGAGTCTTACAGGATGTATAAAGACCACAACTCCCATGACTCGACCCTCAGTCATTGAGTCCTCAAACTATGACTTTGTTTGTTGTGAATATGCGCCCTCTAGTGGTGAAAATTACACTTGCATTTTCTCACTCTGTACCTTATTCTTGATGTACGAAATGACGCAGCTATTTTGGCTCGAGACGTCTGACTTTAATCATTACTAGAACTTCTATGTTACTTAACTTCTATATTATAGGAACTTCTATGTTAAGCTACTTTGACACAATCTACATTGTAAAAGCACTATATGAATGAACATGAGTTACATTGACCTCCATTTTTAGACTTTAAAAACAGCTTGTTTTGCTGCTTGATGTAGCAAACTGATCTTTTTTTTTATTTTATTATACTCCTTTGTATGTGTAGTCATGAACACATTTGTTTGTAGAGCAAGTAATTTGACTGTTTTCTGCCATTTATTATTCCTGGTCATTTCTCCCAAAGGCGACTGAATCGGAAGTTCTAAAACAATCGCGAAAACGAACATACTTCTGCATTGCAGAATAAAGTCAATATGTACCAAATGGCTTTCTGTTTCCCCAAACAGAAACATTTTTATATGCATTATGCTGATCAACATTAATAATAATCGTTACTACAGTATCAGAAGCAATAATCTATAATATCGAAGCACTATCATGTAATAAAAACCTGTTTTCTAATTGTATAATTTATATTTTGTTTGTTGATAAAAAAGTAGGTAAAAAATTAAAAAGAATTAAGATAGCTGGCAAATATTTCCATTTAATATTGTTAATTTATGACCCATATACACACATCATTTCTTTCACATATTCCAGTTTACTAAGATGTTAGTACTGTATTTAGCCTTTACAGTTATGCAATACCTAATCACCTTCTTCTCAAATGCAGTCGGTGCTTTAACATATTCAGCATTCAAAGGGCCAGCGTCCCAGAGTGGCTCCTTTCATCAATAATTTAATTAACTTTTAATTAATTTAATGATTTACTTTGGTAAAGGTTTAATTGTTAATGGTTTCATTTAATGATTCAAAATGTGGTTAAGATGAGGTGATGCTACTTAAATTAGCCGACTGTGTCGTTCAAGTAATAGAGAAGCTGAATGAACTAAACAAATGATTGTTGATCTGTTTATTTACACATCTCCCTTTTCTCTTTTCGCCCTCTGCAGAAGAAGATCATGATCATCATCTGCTGTGTAATTTTGGGAGTGGTTTTGGCGTCCAGTATCGGAGGAACCCTGGGCTTCTAAACGACATGAAGAGAGTCAAACACTTGGAAAGCTGAGTGTTTTATCCACTTAAACACGAGATAAGGAAACTGTCATAAAAACGGGGGTTGGGTAGGGTTAAAAATTCAAAAATCAACCAATCGAGAAAATAAATAAATCAATAAATAAAGGAGATGTTACGTACTAGATGATTTAAATATATATATATATACAAAAAGTGGGTTCAAATAAACATAATATTTACAAACTGTACATGTAAATGTATTGAACATACAAGCGGCACATGGGTTACTACTACCTGTAAAGGAATAAAAATCAATTTTGTTTTTATTTATTTTCTTTTTCTTTTAGCGTTGCTTTCGTTTTTGGGGGGGCCTCCAGGACAGTGCCAGCAACTGCTAAATTGTTTTTACGTTTCGGCAGAACATGGTGTTTGGCAAACCATACTAGCATTATGAATACTAACCAACTGACTGCATAGATGTTTTAGATACTAGTGCTAGTCCGATTTCAATGGCCTAAAGTTCCGAGTGGTTGCTTGCATTCAGACGAAAACCTCTCATTATTGCATTATTAGCTCATTGCCGATGGAGTGCTGTAGTTTAAAAGCACCGTCAACCTCATAGCCGAATTTCTGTCGTAGTAGTTTTACTGTGGGCAAACGTAAACGACGAAGAAGAAAAAAAGAAGCACACATCATTGCGAATTCTGAGAGGACATGTTTCGGCAAGTTTGTACTTGACAGTGATTTTCTTTTGATGTACTGTAGAAAGGAACGAACATTTCATTTCAACACGTTTAGAAAGCTACGCTGGGATCGATAGAGTGGCATTGCGCAAACTGTTGAACTATGCAGTTTTGATAGTGATTCGCCCCTGCTTTTTGAATTTATTTACGGAAATCTAGGGATTGATCAAGAGACAAATTGTATTTGTCTATGGCGAAGATTTCACGGGAACATTTTGATCAATACTTGAAGCAACGCCTAGCCTAAATATTATTTTTATTGGAAGGTGGTTAGGTCTGCTGAAAGGAGTTTCCTTGTTCTGTTTTTTTTCATTTAGTTTTGCGCTTTTTGTTTATTTGCCTTGTTTTATATTTTAACTATTAAACATGAACAGCTTGAACAGGGCCGTTTTGGTTTCGAAGGATTGATCTGCGAGTTTGCGTGACGTTTTTCACCTTGGTGCTAGTTAACGTAGAGAGACCAATAAAAGGAAATACTGGAACGTGAGAAACACTAAGACCCTTATTGTTAGATTATACATATCTGAAACGGTAGTGGTCAACGCAGATGTTGACTAAACATTTACTTGTAGATGCACCTCGTACGGTTGGTCAGGACACTTAATATGCAGTGAAGATTAGACGTACTTCTCTAAACACCCTGAGTGACGGCATTTTGTCAAGTTGATGCTAGCTTAAAGTAAAACGCTTCGATTTCGTCCAAAGATTGATTTACTTTTTAGTTTATTTTTGGAAAAGCAAATTAAATAGTTCATTTTCTTTCGCGGATAGAAAGTGCCAGCTTGGTCAGCTTGTTTTAAATTCAAGGGCTAAAATTAAAACCAAACTTTAGCTCTGTTTATTTTATTATTTTGGCTTTTGTTGATACAGAATCCCTCTTGGCTTGATTCCGATTCGTCACACTCTTAGAAAGACCTTACCCTCATGTTCATGACGTTACAGAACATGTACCAACTCCATAAGTGCACTCCTTTTCTCAATAAGGACTTCATTTTTCCACGGAATAGATAACAGGAGCCCCCCCTCGACTCCGTCCCGCTATACCCCTATACCTACCCAAAGCGAAGCAGTAGGGAACAGGAATGATTTTGGGGATAAATACTGTACACTTTTTACAAAGCCTGAGGCAGAGGGCCGGGACTATTTTGCTTTAATCATTCCAGTAACGTCCAGCATGTTTTCTTTGAAACTTCTGTGTATTTAGTGTCGAATCACTTACATGTATGGTAAAAATGAGGTAAATATGTATGTCGGTGTTGTTTTTAGTAGACGATATAGCTGGAAGGCCCTTATTTGTTAACGCATGCAACTTTCGCTTTGTTAGTTTGCATGGCTCTCGATCATGTGTGCACTTTACAATCAAAGAAAACGACGTCTTATGCCACCGCATCTTTTTGAGTTGTACCGTTTTCCGTTTTGTTACTACGTTGACTCGTTTGTTGGTTCATTTATGGTGACTCTTTAAGGGTTGGATGGGGGGGGAATGACTTCATTTAATAGTTCATCATGACCCTGACGATGCTGGAGTTTTACCGTGGTCCCCATGAGTGTGTTCCCTGTGGATGTGCACAGTTTGTTGTCGGGTATTTTGTTCCCAAAACACGGTCATAGTGTAAAACGATGTATATCCCCCTTCCCCCCTGCCCTCCTCACCCTCCGGAATCATTTTTGCGCATCTTGTTCATTTCGCCCTTCCCCCCGATGTTTCCCGAACTTGATTGTTGTGCTTAACTGGTGATGATACGTGAATTCTTTCGTAAGACTATTCTTTATTGTGAGTCGTGTGCTGCGAATTGTGTCGAATTGTGCAACTCAAAAGGCCATGTATGCGTGCCCTGTCCCTTCTGCATTTTTTCCTTTTTTACGTACACGTTGCTGTATATGTGAGCATGAGCATTTGTGTGTGCGCGTGTGTGTGTGTGTGTGTGGTTGTGAGTGTGTGTGTGCTCGTCTGCTGTCGGAGCCCTCGGTCGCATCCGCAACGCCAACCGGGGCTTCTCTGGTCTGCAGGTCTATGATATGCGCTCCAGTTTTGTGCCGACTTCATTCAAATGTTAAGAAAAGTAATAAGACTAAAAAGCCAAAGCATTATGCGAGTACAGAGCACAATGTTACAGTCGACTGTATTGTGTAGTCCTCCCCGGCCGTAAATCTCGTGAACTATCTTGTGTATGCATTTACTATGTTTTCATTTCCACTGCTTTCAGCGACAAGGTTCTTGATATAAAGGTTTATTTATTTATTTATTTATATTCCTTCTGAACAATATGTATAATGTGTACTACACGAGCTTGTTCGTTTTAAAGCACTTTCTCCAAAAACAGCTACGTACAAAATATCCCCAACAAATGTTGTGTGTACTGTATGTTGGTTTTCTTTCGATCTTTGTACCCTCGATGATGCTGTTTATGTTTATGGCCCTTGTTCAACTCACTTGCATTGCTTCCTCTGTGCTGGCAATACATTAGACGTAGACATTAGATCAGCTCTGGTTAAAAGAAAATGAAACAATAATAATAAAAAGAAGAAAAAAAAAACCTGTATACTAACACGGGCACAGATCTGGATGAAAGTTTTCTCAGTTGTCTTATTTTATTTTGTCAACACTGTTTTTGGATGTTCGTCACACAGACACTGATATGACCAGACAGCACTGGCATAACACAGCACATTGAGAAGGCATTTTGTAAATGAGTGAAAATTACAAACTACTTATATATGAAGAAAAAAAAACTATGTACCTTTTAGAGCTTAACTGCATAATAGTCTTTTTGGTTGGGGTTGTTGAGTGCCCCGTCACTGCAGGTGAAGAAAAAGACCCAATCCGTTTGGACACGCAACACGTTCTTCGAAGCCGTCTGCAACTGCGTAGCCTGCTTTGTAGATCCAACCTAATCTCACGAGGAAACATGCGTATTTTACGTTTTGTCAGTTTAGTGGCTAATTCGTACAAATTCGAGTTCAGTTGTACGAAAACGTACAATTTTAAAAAGGAGGCGTGGTACCTGACTCCGCCCCTAAACCCAACTTTCATTGGCAGATAATGAGATTATCCGAATTACCCACTAAATCAAAAACGTACAAATTGCCATGAGATTATGTTGGTAGATCGCAAAGCTCGCTACGCTTTAGCTGTCTGACGAACAGCTCTCAAAGACTTTTAGGTTAACGGATACGACTTCTCGACTAATGGGCACCCAAGACCTGCGATGGTGATGTTTCTCAACAGCCCCAGCCATGATCCTCCTTAATTTCATCCCCTTTTGTGTCATTCCTTTGATGTATATTCCCATTAAAATTTATACCAGTATTCTTGTTTCAGTGTTAGATTTAGAACGAGGAAAACGGTTTGCGGAGATGGTGCTCAAACTGTGATTTCAGCAAAATGACCATCATTCGCCGAGTAATGATGTGATGAAAACACTACTCTAATTAGAACGGGAAGACGACTGGATGAGGATGACATAATTGAATTATACCATTATCAAATGTGATGAATTATATAACTACGATGATTTTAAAGAATCCCGAGAAGTTGTGTTATATTAGTAGTACTTATGAATGCTCGCGATTTTGTCAATCTGAACTGAATCTTTGTCTTGTAATTATTGTAAATATTTCAAAGAGAGGAAAAAAAATGACTTGCATGTCCATGTATAAAACTACTAAAATAGTTCCGGTCAAAGTTGGGAGGTTGATTGATTTTCTCGTTCTTTGCCCGCTTGTCCTAAAAGCAGCATCTTACGCTTTCAGTGATGTCAAGGGTGCTCTAGAACCAAGAAAAGTGGAACAATGCTTTTCCATCAGATTCAATATAATACGTCGTGTTACCTCAGAGAGCCATCAGCGGGTTAACTCTGGGGGAAAAAAAAAGTGCTTCCCTCCATGTACACCATCAATAGGTCTACAGGTCAAATGCACACTATCTGTAGCTTCCAGGCACCGCTTCTCCTGCAAAGCTCCACCTCATTGGCAATGCCAAATTTAGTACAATTAGCAGCATTTTTTGTGCATTTCGTGTTATATTCACAATCGGAAATCCTAGACTGTAGCAGGGCTGAAACAGAAAGCTCTAAGGATGAGCTCTATTTGAAGAGTGGAAGTTTCTTTCAAAGTACAGTAAAAAAATAAATAATAACGCTCAACGCAAACACTCATCTGTGCAATACAAAGAAAAGGGCTTTCTCACACATGCATTTGAAAGCACTGAAGAACGCCGACTTCAATGTTATTGTGGGACTCGAGAACAGCCGCCGCTTTATGTGTCGCCACAC